ATGCCGTAAACCTACCATTTTGGGGATGGTTTGAATCTCACCCATAAAAATGGTGATTTTGGGGATGGCTTATGGCATTGGGTTTACCACATTGACATCTGTTCAAGTGGAGTTTCAAAACAGCATCTCAATCAAGGTGCACGCTTGCCTCACCATCACCGGAGAGGGGTGGGCGGAGTGGGCGGAGTGGGCGGAGTGGGCATCCCAAAGCCTGTCCCGCCATTTCGATCGGGGACCAGCAGGTCTGGAGCTCAGGAGACATGGGAATTTTTCAGCGTCCGATTTGGGTGAATTTGAAGTTAGGTGGCATCCAACTGCCCGAAACGCTCTGTACTACGAGGTCAGGAACTTTTTACGTTTCACAATCTTTTAGATTTTTAGCATCTTCTGATATGGGTATGGGTCAATACCTATAGATACATTTTTAGTGGGATGAACATCCATTTACCAGCTATTTTGGGGTTCACTAGGTACCAGGGTTTTGACCCATCCCCATATCTTTTGATTATATTGGGGCAAGTTAAGTTCAATGTGAACTAACTATCGTGTTCGCTGCAATGCACCCTGGCAGTTGAACAATCCAAATCACCCCTACAGACCGAGCAACTGGCCTGTCCCCCAGCCGTAAGTGAAGACATATTGGAGCGTATCGGAGTAGTGCCCAACCAGATCCAAAACCCAGGCCTCGTGGCATAGAATGGCCTTCCCGTCTTTCCGGCAGATTGAAGCTGTGTCGGTCGAATGCAAAGACCTTGGGAGTCGTGATGCCGATGTCATCCCATGTCTGTTGAATTCTCTTGGCATTGAACACAGTTGGCGCTTTAGGCTCAAAGGCCTGCACAGATAGATTGCAAGATGCAACCATGGCCACACCATACTCGTAGAAGACAGTCACAGGGTCAGCAAGAAGCCAGCAATGCCATGCGGACGCAGTGGCGCATAGATCCAATCGACGGGCCAGGGCCTTGCTTGCTTCATCGTTGTTTGGCTGGAAAGGAACCACTTGAAGCAATTCTTGAAGCACTTGAGATGAATGCAGCAGCAGCTCAGGTGTGCCTACACATGGGCGGATTTTCAAGCCTTCTATGTGGGTACCTACTCCAAAAAGGCACTTGTTGAGCCTTGACACATTTTGACACGAAAACAAGACCACTGAAATTCGTTGCAGCTTCGCTAGGAGGTTGAGGCATACTGGAAACAGTGAAAGACTTAGATGGTTGAATTGAAGCACGCAGCAAAGCTGTTCTGTGCTGTTGCAAAAATGAATTCACAACAACCATTCTATGCTGTGCATCCTTGGCACATTCAACATGTATTCGTGAAGCGAGGTTGGAGTGTCTTTCTTGTGTTTGCCAGGTTGTATCAGTTACATCATCATCCTTTGGCTTATGCTTTCCCACGAGTTTTGAGGTGCAAAGAGCCTCCTTCCTTTCGAGGAGCTCGTCGATCAGGCAGCACATTAATTATTCTGGTGCCCTGGCCTTGGGCTGGTGTCTCCCGTTTCTTTTTGAGGTAACCAACTTTTTAGAAGACCTGACTTGAGGGTAGCAGCCTCAGATACCAACTGGAACCTGGAATTCGGATAGATTTCCGTTGTTTGTTTCGTTGGGCCTTCTCCCTAGGTAGATCGTGCACTAAGGATTGCCTAGCGTTTGCCGTTTTCGGCCCCAGCCTTTCGGCTCAAATTCAGGTAGTCCCCATGGCCCCGCACAAAAAAGGCCGTGCACGGGATGTGGTTCCCCATCGAGAACACCGAACCTCAAAGAAGGCAACTGGAAAGTCCAACTCTCCATTGATAGCACCAACCCGAGCGGCATTGGTGGTGGTGAGCCTTGATCTCGACAGCCTACCCCTGCAGGCTGATTTATGGTTGAGGACTATGGCATGCCTTGATGTCACGGAGATTTGCCGATGCGAAAATTCATCCAAAGCACTGTGGGAGACGTTGAATCGGGAGAACACACTTTGGCAGAAGCTGTGCACAGTCCACTTTCCGTCCATGTACTCATCAGTTTGCTTGAATCCAATTGGATGCCCAATCCTTTCGAGTGTTTCCAACATCCCAATGGAACTGCCAGGCAAGCCTATTGTGGAGAATGGATTTAGTGAGGCACCTGATGCGGACATCTTGGACAAATTGCCCCCAAATGCACCAGAAGTTTCCGTGATCGATTGGAAAATGCTGTTTGCTCGAAGGTGGCAAAAGCAGAGAAAATGGGAGCGAGACCGGTGCAAAACACAGAGTTCCGCCACGGGGGTCAGCAGGCGTTGCACCGCTTGTGGCGAGCTTTGTGAGGACGAAAAGGGAGCTGATGGCGACTGCGCCATCCATCCAGGCGACTTCCTCCCGCGGCACCCAGCGGACTGGAGCAGGGTGGAACTGCAGCAGTTGCAAGGCTACGCCCGCGCAGCTTGGCGCAGCATTGGAGGAAGCTCCGCCATCCAACGCAGTGCCCGGGTCTACCGCGGCGGTGGATACTGGGCCAAGGGCCTTGGATTCAAAGGCTGGGGCTCCAAAGGGCACTGGGCAGAAGGTCTTGGTGCGCGCCCGGGGCCCGGCAATTTGCGCCTGTGTATCATTGGACATGTGCCCTGCACTTGGTCTTGTTGTGGAGCAGAAGATCTCATTAGCGAAGGTTGCCTCCTTGGAGCACATCGACTTAGATGAGTACTCTAAGAGGTAAGGACCAGATTTGAAAGGTCTGAGTTTGCTATGGAAAATTGATGCATTCACATCAAAATGAGCGCAATGGGATGAAGCAGCCAGTACCCATGTCTTCCGATTCATGCTTTGTACATAGCCTGTAAATGTTTAAAGGCTGCAAGTGCATCTACCTTTGCCTTGCTCAGTTTAGAGCTGCACAGTCTGAGATGACTGATGTGGCCCATAATGCTTGATTATGTAGATGAATTAGTCAATTGATTGCTCATTGAAAGCAACGCGCTTTGAAGTTCTAAAAGTCTGTGCAGCTGGAGCTCATGTTCAGTGTGCTGGACATGAGGTTTGTCTTGCCAAGTGAGTGTTATAATATGTTATAGTGTTCAGGGTACCTTTCAGTTCAATTGTCTGCTCCTTTCTGAAGTCCAACTTGAACAAGCGCCTTTTTCCTCCTATTTTCACCTATGAGGTTGCGTTTGGCAAAGTTCTGAACATCTTGGATGAGTCCTTTCTCTTGGAGGCCAATCTTTGCATGATGAAGAAACGCATCTTCTGCATGATCTATCATGATCTTGGATCAAAATCATGCCACGACTCCATTCCTTCGCAGTCGCAATTGGCTTCGGTCTTGAGCATGGGGGAGAGCTCCGAATTCCGGTGGTGGGCAGGCAGATGTATGTGCCCTGGCTGTAAGAAAAACTGCACCATGAATGAAGTCACGTCATGATCATGGTCAGACTGTCTTGTCTGAATGTTTTTCTTGTAGAACCCACATATCATATGAGAGACATAGATCATAGATCCATCAAAACCTTAAACAACTGTTGAAGCTGCTCGAGTCAGGTTAGACTTCAAGTCGCAAGAGGTGCCCTGGTGGTAAGAGTCTTTGGATTCGAACTGTGATGGTGTACTTGGTGTTTCACCCCACTTGGTAAGCGGGTTGTAACTTGTAACCCTAGTTATAAGTAAGGTTCGGGTAATGTGAATCCATATGAATCCGTTTATTGTAACTGGGGTTATATCCACTTGCTGACTGGGGTGAAGCACAGGGTCGCTCCTTTTCCTTTACATCACCATGGACTGCGCTGGCACCAATTGTGCTGGCCTTACTGTTACGCCCCGGCAAGGTGCGAAATACATCAGCTTTGCTGATTTCAACAGCTGTTTCTTCAGGAGAAAAACCTATTGTAGCACAAAATTGGGGGTCAATGACATGAGGCAAGAAACTTTAAATGTGCTTGAAATGTGAACGATCCGCCAAATCCATGGCAAGAGTGGGGTTTCTCTGAAATTCATACCCAAGTTCTGGCAGTTTTAACCGGTCTAGCTGGAGAATATGATGGTTACCGAATGGATTGGGGGTGCCATGATGGGACACAGCCGGAAACCGGCTCCCCAAATTTGAGGTCGACGTACTTGTTGCCGTTGCAAGGAAGACGATGCCTCCTGGTGAGGCCCGAAAGCGAGTTAGCTTCCAATCTTGGATATCTTGGGGGATGGTCGAGTCATCAATCGATTTGCATAGGCGAAATATGTAGCCATATTTACCCATAGAATGGCTAAATATGGCTAAACAATGGCTAAGATATGGCTAAGATATGGCTAAAAAAATGGCTAAACAATGGCTAAATACCCAAAGAATGGGATTCTGCGGATTCCCATTTTGGGATGATTGTGGGATGACCATAAACTCCCAGGGGATACCCCAAGATAGCCCAAATGGCCATCTTTTTTTCGGGACCATGACGAAGCATGAGATTTTTGGGGTTCCAATTCTGGAGACAAACAGACTCAAAGAGTTCTTGGGTGTTCTTTTCCCTGGATCCCTGGGATGATTTTCAGTGGCTGCCAGGAACTGGCCTTGATCCAGCTGATCCTCAACTACTACCCTGATGGTGACGAAGCTTAGTCTCGACAAAACATGACAGGCACCCGTTTTGATGAAGATATTTGACAGAAAAGATAGATGCACAGGGCTGTTTTGTTGACTCTTTCCCCTTGGACACAGATGACATTGCCGACACATCAAGTTTGCCTTCGGAATGGGAATCAGACAACATGTTCAAGCTGGTACGATGTGATCTGATCCTTATACCTGCTGTAGGAACAAGTCGCGTTCGTTCTCATCGTCACCGATGCCGCCAGGCTGTTTTTTTTTGGATGACCAAAGCGGCAACTTTTGCCCAATCTTCGGCTACCAATCGCAGTGTAGAGAGACAGGTGTGTATATCTTTGGGAGCCTCCAGGAAGATCGAGGTGTGCTGCTTGTGACGTTTTTCCACGATTTTCCCCATGCGATGACCTGGCCTCCTGGTCCGAAGTTCGTTGAAGGTTGATGGCCAGCTGATGACGATGTGCCACGGCGACTGTCTGCCGTTATTTGGAGAGGAGCCGCGGCCCCATGGATGGAGCCATGTCTTGCGATCTGAGTTGACGACACTTGACGGCACTTGACGACTTCCAAGGCATGCGGTTCCAGCGAGCAGTTCCAGCGAGGCTCCGAGGATGAGCATCTGTCTGTTCTATTCATCGTGGCTCACCTGCAGATGAAACCCGCAACGCTGTGATCAGCTACATGGCTGAGGTTTGCTTGATGTTTTCACGGGAAGATGAACCGAACTCATGACAGATTGTCCAGCAAGCCATGTTTGATTATCGGGGAGAGTAGCTTTGATGATGTTTTGTGCAGCCGCAACCCAAATCTTTGAAGTACATGGTAACAGTATGACAGCGCCCTGCCAAGGCAGTCGGAGTACTTCGCGGGGGCTGGGGTGCTTGCCAACGGGAGCTTTTGGTGGTCTCATCCCAAAGAGGATGAGCAAGTGTCAGCAAATGAGTGGAGTGAGACAGGCAGAACAGGGATGGATGTGGTCATGTGGTCCTGGTTGCTGGAACAAATATTTCCATAGAATTCCATAGAATGATTGGTACCCGATTGATGGGAAAAATCATGAACCCCCAAAACACGGGTTTAATAAATTATACAATTTCCATGATCGGAATGTCATGAATCATTCTGGAGATTTCTGGAAATGTAATACCCAAGAGCCCAAGATCTTTTCAGGACGGGTCGACTACGTATGACGAGTAAAGCTATCATGAAGCACGAAGGTAAAATGGGTGGTATACATCGCAATGGGGGGTGGGGGGAGATTGAATGCGATATCAAAATGAACAATGGTGATTTAAGCATATATCTAAGATTATCTAAGATTATTCAAGCAAATGATGTCTCGCTGATCATGTGTTTAAGTCAAAAAGTTACCTCACCACGAGATCCCTGGTAAGTTTTTTATTCCTAGTTTAAGAATGTTTAAGAAATATAGTAATTTGCCCAGGTATGATCATGGTTTCAACATGTGCTGCAATTTGGGAGTGCTCACGTGACACGGGTTTAAATCCAACGCTTGATCATTAGTCATTGTTTTCCCAATCAACATTGCCCTGACTTTGGGGTGAATATCCTTTTTGTTGAGAGCAACCTCATCATCATATTGTTGCTCATAATATCCTATGAGATTCGAATTACCCTCTGGTAAACTGTCCCATAACTATGGAACACCACCATTTTTAATGGGAAAATCCACTATTTCTATGGCCATTTTCAATAGCTTTTTGTATGTTTACCAGAGGGTAATATCCCAGCTTAACGTATCCCCCTAAAATGGTGCTTTGGCGATTTCCCTGCCCAGGAACCTGGACGACCTGGACGATGGCGGGTGTCCGGCACAAAAAAGTTACGCGCCGGGCAAGCCCGGCAGGGTCCGTTGGAGTTACTGGCCTGCCAGGTGCCAGTGTGGATAAGGACGGCAAGTGGTGGCCTCCCTATGGCTGGGCCAATGGGGTACTCTCCTCAAACTCAGAAGGAGAGCGGTTGAGATGAGTTGAGATGAGTTGATATTGGAATATATTGGAACATATTGGATGATTGATGTGATTTGATGTGATTCAACCATTTAGGGGACCTATTTGTCGAATCCGCTATCCCTATTGATTCCGAGTTTGGAGCGGAAGCTGGCTGTGGCCCGGCCAACTGGAGCTATTCATGTGGTTGGCGAAGCCCATCCCAGTGGGACGAAGATGGTCCAAAGATTTGGTATGCTCCCAGCAAACAGCTCCAGGGTCAGCCTGACTTGTCCGAAACACTGCTCGATGACTTTGCCAAGTGCAGTTGAGGAAGCCTGTGTCATGCCACCTGTGAACTGCAAACCTGTACACCAATATGCAAATAGTCGATAGCTGCCATTTTTTGGGGCATAGAGTGAATTTTGTCTCACACATGTTTTTGGTTGATATGCAGTAGGCAATGGCACAGTAGAACTGCAAACATCAATGTACTTGGGCTGCTTGGCAGCGGTCCCCAGACTTTGATTCTGCCATATTCTGCCAGAAGTGGGTGATGACCCAAGCAAGTTGCTGGAGAAAGAAGCACAGGACTGGTGGCAGCTCCGCTTAAGACTATGCTTTGTAAAGATCCTTTCTTTTGCAAAGCCCAGATGCGCCATAGTGGAGGGATTTTCGGGGGATGGTCACCAATCCACACAGATTCAGAATCTGTATACCATTGCAAGGATTTCATTGATGGACGACCATACCACACATTCATCCCACGTAACTTCACCATGGCACAGATAGCAACCACAGCTTCCTCAAACGTTCCAGGAGGAAGCTGAATACCCGGCAGGGTTCTCAATGTCTCAATCCAAAGAGGTTTCGCTGAATCCTGTTGCTGTTGGAACATGAAAAACCCAACAGCTGGCTGCTGCAGGCCAAAGTGCAGGGATATCAGAGTGGACTGGAAGGACCCCCTGAGCCACCAAGACCATCCCAGGCTCAAGTGGGCACAACTGCTGCTATTTGAGATGTATAATTATGTGTAATTATGTGATTGTATATGCACATATATATATATATATGTATAATACATACCTGCATGTACAGATATGTATATAACATAGATAGATAGAAATGAAAGATAGATTAGATTCGATTAGATTGGATTGGATTGGACTGGACTGGACTGGATAGATAGATAGGTAGATAGATAGATGAATTAGATTAATCAGATTAAGTGGATTAAGTGGATTAATTAGATTAATTGGCTAATTAGATTAATCAGATTAATTAGATCCGTTAGATTAGTTAGATTAATTAGATTAATTAGATTAATTAGATTAATATATAGATTAATAGACGGATAAATAGATAGATAGATAGATAGATTTAGATAGATAGATAGATCGATAGATAGATAGATAGATAGATAGACAAGAACTCGTAAGTAAATTAGTAAATAGATAGATATATGAAACAGATGAATACATGATACGTATATAATCTTATGATATGCATATGATTAGAGGAATAAATGCATAGATCAATACATGAATACATGAATAACAAGATGAAGTGTGTATATATATACATATATATATATATAATATTATACTACTGTATCACGTCATTGGACCAGACTGAATGGTTTGATGAGATGGATGCCAGATGAACCTATCCTGGGTTTCCCCGGCAGGTTGCCGACGGAAATGGCCCAGCGACTTGGATGAATGATCACAACACCAACGGAGGTCCCAGCGGTTCCATTGTTTTTGTTTTTATCAATTTCCATAGGATCCATGTATGCTATATATGGTAACATTTACATCAATATACCCCCAATGTTAGCATATATGCCATACATGGATCCTATGGGATTTCCATTCCGGCTCTGAACATTGCGACATTAGTGGAACCAAGCGACACCGGTAATTCCCAGAAGTGCCTAATTCGCTGCGTTTCTCTTTACGAAAGGAGTCATTTTGGAGCCCGGTGAGATCCGGTGAGATCCGTTTAGGTTGCATTGCAATTGGAGACCGAACCTGAAGGGACGATGCTGGACATCATGGAGCACCAGGCGCGTTACGACCGTTACGCGCGTTCTTTCGATGGTCAGCAGATGTCACTGGCGCATAAGCCAAGCGTTCCATGAAGAAACGAAACGGTCCTGCGATGTCCTGCTTTCGGATTTTGGAACGACAGGGGAGCTCAAGACGTGTGAGCAATGAGCAGATCGCTGCGGACAAGATATTGGATTTGCAAAAGACACTGTAAAAGAAATCACTGCAGAGTGTGACCACGTCGCGAGTTGACATGAACTACAGAATCATGAACTTGTGACTCGCTTGTCATTTTCCTTGATAGTGTGCTTCATCAATGAGCGGGCCAACAGGACATCGACGCCGACTCAAAACCTCTGAATTTCGCAATGTTTGGAAGCTCGTTGGACAGCAGGAACACCCTCAATGTTCTCTTGACTCAGACAGCAAGTTCGCTTGGACAACACCTTTCCAATTTATGGTTGCATGCAAAAGACACGGGTCTCTGGCCAGCGCATAGGATACCTTTCTAAATAATTACTGAGCTGAGTAGAGGTCTAGGAGATGAAACTTGCATAGTAATTACTATGACTGGACCTATCTCATCCAAGATTTGCAAATCATAGCCACAGCACTGCTTCTGTGTTTTGCTCTGTAGTTCGAAAAAAGAAGAGATTCCAGCAATGGTTCCAGCACAACACAGAATACAACATGGTTACCCTCCGGTAATCAAACAGGGCAACCGAAAATCATGGAAATTCCCCATTTAGTTCGATGATTTTCCCATTAATCCTCCATTTATGGGCATTTTCCCATGAATTTCCATGATTTTCCCCTTAAAACCAGCACTTAGTTGGTGATTTCCGAGGGCATGGCACATCCACTGCGGTGAACCCGCCGAGCAATGACCACACCGGACAAAGCGCCGGAATTACCAGGTGGTTTCGAGTGACGTGTCTGACAAATTGCAGCCACCTCAAAACGAATGGAATCCACATAACAGCAGTTGCCAACAATACATACATACCTACCTACATACATGCGTACGTACGTACATACATACATACATACATACATACATACATGCGTACGTACGTACATACATGCATGCATGCAGTACATACATACCTACCTACCTACCTACATACATACATACATACATACATGCGTACGTACGTACATACATGCATGCATGCAGTACATACATACCTACCTACCTACCTACCTACATACATACATACATGCGTACGTACGTACATACATGCATGCATGCAGTACATACATACCTACCTACCTACCTACATACATACATACATACATACATGCGTACGTACGTACATACATGCATGCATACATACATACATGCGTACGTACGTACATACATGCATGCATACAGTACATACATACCTACCTACATACATACATATATACATGCATGCATGCATGCATGCATGCATGCATGCAGTACATACATACATACATCCATACATGCATACATACATGCATGCATGCACGCATGCATGCATACATGCATACATGCATGCATGCACGCATGCATGCATGCATGCATGCATACATGCATACATGCATACATGCATACATGCATACATGCATACATGCATACATGCATACATGCATACATGCATACATGCGTACATGCATACAGACAGACATACATGCATACATGCATACATGCATACATGCATACATGCATACATGCATACATGCATACATGCATACAGACAGACATACATGCATACATGCATACATGCATACATGCATACATGCATACATGCATACAGACAGACATACATGCATACATGCATGCATGCATGCATGCATGCATACATCCATACATACATACATGCATACACACACATATATATATCATATTTTATATGTTATAATAATATAGTATCATATGTGTGTATATATATATATTATACATGATTGCATATGTCTCAGTACATAAGAACAAGTAGGAACGAAAAAAGAAGGAACACTTGGAAGTGCAAACCGTCAAGACATGAATGCGCAACTTGGAGGCGTGGGAAGGGCGGATGCTGCAGCAAAGATTCGGCGCAACCGGCCGCATCCTTTGCTGGATTACGAGGCTCCACCAAAACTGCAGATACTGGACATCTACAGCATAGGTCATAGGTTTGTCTGAAAAGCCCAAATTTGATGCTTGATCATCATTTCCCCCAAAATTTTAAACGGTGATTTTGGGGCTATCCCCCATCTTGCCCCATTTTGGAAGAACGCCGCAGCGGTTTGTTTCCGCGCGGCCGTTGCACCGAGTCTTGGGCCGAGTCACAGGCCTCGGACGTGGCTGCTAACGAAGCTGTTGCGGCGTGCCCAAGCTGCACTTTCTTCCTCCAACTTTGGATGACCCTCTGGTAAACTAACATAGCTATTGAAAATGGCCATAGAAATAGTGGATTTTCCCATTGAAAATGGTGATTTTCCATAGCTACGTGAAATTACCAGAGGGTACCATGAATTACCCTCCAGTCATCCAACATGGGAAATCATGGAAATCCCCGAAGCAGTCCTGGCTGGAGGTTTCGTTCGCTGGGAAACATCGAAGTAAATGGAGGATTTTCCACCGAGGTATGCAGCGGCAGTTGGATTACCGAAGGACCGGAAGATACTGCAGAATCAAAGATGGCTCTGTTTGAGGCAGACATTCATAGAACTGGATGATGGGAAAATTTACAGGAAAACCCTTCAAATTTGATGGTAAAAACCCATGGGTTTCCTGTAGATTTTCCCTTAAACCAATCCATTGAGACATGGAAAATATGTTGGCGCTTTGTTGCTGCTTATCTACCAGATCATCTTGTTTCAGGAGTTTGCTAATGCAAAAAGCTTGCCGCCGGTATCCGAGTGGTGGTGGATTAACACGTTCCAAATTGTTGACCAGCCTAAAGTGCCATATAGTGGGTTTTTGAGCTTTTTTTGTTCCCAGGTCTTCGCTCAACAACAAGTTGTGGCAGACGCGATCTTTTGTGACTTGGCAAAAACATGTGTGGCTGACAGGTGGCTGGTAGCTGTCACATCTGTCACCGTGACCACTGAGGCTGCCAGCATGGCAGAGGTGCGTGCCAGTTTCACATGACAGCTGCACTATGTCTATTGGAAGCCGATGTCATGTGAAACCAATGCTAATTGCAACAATCAACAGTTTATTAGAATATATATATACCTTGCAAATCCATATCCCAAGAAAAATCGGGACGAGGGTCGAGAACCTGGTTATGATCTGTTTTCTGCTGAAAACCTGACTTTACTGTCGAAAACCTGGATTTGGAGCAATTTCCCACTTTTTGCCGCATCTCAAGCACATATCCAAGCCCCGCGGTGGGTGTGTCCCACGATGTCAGAAACTCAGCTGCTTCAAGCTCCTGGCACGGCAAATGAGATCCAAATCTGATTCCCACGTGAGACATTTGGGTTTAAGAGGGTTCATGCTAGGCTTAGACTAGCAACCATGGCTGCTTTCGATACTTCTGGTCTTTGTGATGAGTGGGACCAATGTGATGAAGTCCGTGAGCGACTTCGACGTGGTGAATCTCTGGTCATTGCGCCCAAAAGCAAGGGGGCCGATGCCACCATCCCCGAATGCACTCAAAATAGCGATCTTCTGTTTCCCCCGCTCCATCGACTTTTCCGATGCCAGTTGAAGCTTCCAGATATTTCTGGATTACGTGAGGAAGTTCAAACCATTTACTCCAAGAACCAGCGTGCCCCCCAAGATGATGAGATAGACGATGCAGCATGGGATCTCCGCAAGATGCTTCGTCTCATCAAGAGGAAGGCCAACAGGAATGATCCATCTTTGGACACTTGGCACTATATGCATTGTATTTTCAGAAATATGAAACCCGTTGGTTGATTGTGCCATTCTTTTTGCATTTTTGTGGGCCTGCACCCCTACACCCCATATATATTATAGTACGACTGTACGACCATTTTAGTTCTTAGCAGTCGGCTTTCGACTGCGCCCGCAAGGATTTCAATTTCCAAGAGATGGTGCTTATCCTCAAGCCCGAGCTTCAGGCAAGTTCTTATTTTTTTTTGCAAAAAGGCGATCCATGCAGAATGCATTAAAAAAACATCCCAGTATGATCTTAAGTGGCCCTTGATTTGTCCTATTCCCTGATAATGGCAGGACACTGTCGCGGACATACGTCGCAAGTTAAAGTCAATGGATCTGGATGCAGACTCAGAGGAATGAGTGTCAAAAACAATTGGATATGTCTCAAAATGGTGCGCCCTTTTTTCCCCTTAAATGGCCTTTTTGGCGCCAAAAAAAGGCACGCCATTTTGAGACAGATATATTATATATCATGAACAATAATTAGAAAAATGGTTTTGGGTCATATCCTTGCTTCCCAAAGAGGGTATCCCTGCAGGATGCCTATGGTACTCAGCAAGATGGTTCCGACTCGGATGACAGTGATGATGATGATGTGATTGTTACTGCAAATCCCTCGACTGAGCCCGCCGGAGCTTCAGCAACTCCAGTTCAGACACCTGTGCCCCCCGAAGCTCCTCGTGCTTTGAACGAAGTGCAGCCGGCTGTCCAGCCTGAGAGTTCCGAGGCTATTGCAAGTGCTGCCCTTCCAGAAACTGGTGCAACAATGTCACCAGCAGCCACGCCGAGCAAACCAACATCGGAGAGCCCCAGTTTCTAGTCGATATTTCAAAATGTTTCCTATGTACATCAACTTTCATTACCACCTTCTTTTTTCAGTGGAACATGAGGCAATGCATGTTCGGTTCCTAACGAAGTTGATCCTGCCCATGAAGCATTCCGAAAGCATCTTTTGCTACAAGAGTTGGCGCAACGAAAGGCCGAGCTGGAAGCGTCTTTTCCAAAGCAATTAAGAAATTATTACATTTTCTTCATTTTCGCATGTTTCTAAAAGAAACCCAAATTCTTATATTCTTCTTTGTCTGCATCGGTTCCCAGCACAAGTGAGGCTCCGAGCGTCGAAGCAAAAGAAGGTGGATGGAAACCTGGCTGCGGATTCTGGCCGAGTTGTGACACGTGCCGTGGCCCCACCAGGACAAGAAAGTCAAAATGCATCAAAATGCAGCATATGTTTATATTATTTTGTATTCAAAAAATTCGTATCAAACGCTGCTCACTTGTCCGTGTTTTGGTTTACTTTTTGCCTGCTGGTTAGGACCATGCAATGTGGATACGGTAGACACGCAGCCCATGGATGTGACGTCGCTCCCCATTCCAGAAGTCTCTCCTCTGAAGGTCCAACAAGTTGAGGATCCGGATACCCTTCGAGCAAAGTTTCAAGTTCCCAAGGTCCCCAAGTCAGTTCCTGCCTCCGGCGATGCGGATGTTGCTGATCTTCTGGCTCTCGCTGACCATGCTGAGAAGGTCCTTCAGTGCCCAAAGTAACCAGCAGTGTTTTGCCATGTGACCCCCAGACTGGTTTCTATAACAAAATGGTTTCAATTAGCAAGGGTCACCACCAGATTGCTTCTATCCCGTCAGGGTGTGACTCGTCGAGATCAGCTTGCAGCAAAGCCGAAGAAGGAAAGGGGTCGGGGACGTGGCCGGGGCCGTGGTGGTCGTGGCGGTCGTGGCCATGGACATGGGAAAGAACCTGAGGTACCACAACTCACTGATGCTGAGGTGTGGGAAGAGTACGAGAGGTGGGTGCTCGATGATGGACTATGGAAGAAGGCGGATGACGATAACGAGGACAAGACCATGGAGACTGAGAAGAAGAGGCCCCGAGTCATTCAGGAAAATGTCCGTCGGGTGGGTGACCATGTCTGTGAGGCTCCAGTCCCCTCTTCCAGCAAGCCTGCCAAGTCAACCAAACAGAAGAAGCCGGAGAATGAGGAGATGCCTGAGACTGAAATGGACCAGCAGCCCCGGAAGAAGAAGCACGCAGCCAAACCGCCTTCGAAGGTGAAGGCATCACCAAAGAAGCCATCGCAGAAGGTCAAGAAAAACAATCTCAAAGAGAAGAAGGAGAAGAAGAAACGGGTGGTTGCCGCTCCAGCCAACCATGACAATGAATTTGACGAGAGCATCATGAAAAAAATCCTGAAGTTCACAAAGAAGATCGACTACCAAGGGCTTGAGTGGGATTCCTTGAAGGCCACTACTCGAGACGCTCTGCCAGAGTTTACATTTTCCAAGTTGACAGTGTATTGGACCCGCAGCGCTTGTGCCGTTAGCATGTGGAGTTACGAAGCCGAAGCCTGGGTGGATGTGGGCCACTTCTCGTTCAACCGCACGGGCTTTCAAGGCACACCAGCTTGCAAATCAGTCGTTGCAGTTGCGCTGGGCTTGCAGCATGCCCTTCGCCGAAAAAAATGTTTACTTATGTTGGTGCTCATAAAGGTCCCGAAATGGAGCCGGTTTTTGTTCCTTTTTTTCCTGGTGCCCTTCTAATCTCAAACCTGGTTTGGTCCGATCCAACCCCATTTCTTTGTTTTCATTTTGGACTGAACAGTTTCTAACCTAAAGCATGTGAATCTGAGGCTCTGTGGGTTGATCAATACAATGGTTGGAAAACTGTCACAGAGTGCCGCGAGTTTGAGAACTTCTTGAAGGCCCATGGTCGTGAAGCGCTGTACCGGTTGCACAACGTCGATTGAAAACATGAACATCTCGAATGTTTAGTGGAAATCCGAGGATTTCTGACTTTTGGCCGGGGTTTTGCAGCCCAAGCTTCTTAGATATTGGGGCTTGCTGCAATGTAGAACATAGCCACCCAAGTTGGAAAATCTAGTTTTCATACTGCTTGATATGTGAAAGCTTTGCAATGTGCCAGCTATAGTGGGTGACTGTGATGAAAGCACATCTCAAACTGACTGGTGATGCCCAGTCCTCTGTCTCGAGAGCTGCCATAGTACCAGGTACCTGGCAGCTTGCGGCTCGAAAACTGGCTTTGCTGAGAGTGTCAGTGTGTTAATCTCCAAACGCTTCCACCATTGTTCGCTATCAATTAATTTGCAATTTTGCAATTACAACTCAAAGTATCAACCATCAAGGCCGATGCCTACATCCCAAAGGCCATGTATGATCCCTTTCCCGAGGTTCACCTCATGGCGCCTCGCCTCTCCAGAGCTCGTCGATTGAAGAAGACGATTTGCAAGCGCAAGCGTCTTCCTGTCATGCTTGGGGGGTGTTGGATGCAGGGTCTTTGTTTCGTGGAATTGTATATAATAAGTATGATCCATACCATATAGCAAACATATTATATATCGAAGATTGCCTGGCTCAAAGTACCACCGAAATTTCCCACGAAGCCATGGATCATGAGATGGATTTGAGTTCCATGCTGTGGGCACTGAACAAGTTGAAAGCGCCACGAGCGCCTTGAACTTGACAAACTAAACTTGCCAATCACACAATTTTAGTGATGCTTTGAGATTTACAATCTCTGGTGTGTTTTTTGGGGGCCCTGTGGCTGCTGAGGAATTCTTGAAAGTGGTAGTACTCGTATACTTCACTTCGAACCTTTTCAATCTTGAAGAGGAGACTATGATTCGGATCCTATACCAGGTCTCACTGTTTCTTATAAATTACAGGCATTGTGCAGGGCGAACCTTGCTGCGCAGGACTTTCGGTGGCTGGAATATTTTGCTGGCCAAGCCTCCTGCACATTTGAGATGAGGCAGGCTGGTTTCCGGTCAGCTCGATTTGATAAGCTCTATTGTCAAGATCCTGGTGCACATGGTCGAAAAACCAACTGGATGGATCTTACAACACCGGCAGGATTTGCGTTTCCAAGTTGCAATCTAACATCCAATATGTGAAAAAACTAAGTATCAGCTTAAATCAAGCTTGAGCAGTTTTGAAGTAAGTATGCTGCATGCATCTGCGCATCTGCCAAACTAAGTCTCGCAGTGGTGTTCGTGATGAAGGGCATGGAGCTCGATCTATTGAGCTGGTTTGGAATCAAGTGTTCTTCCCTGGTGGCAGTAAATTCGGGGACAAGCAAGAGATCAGCTTGCAACAGTATTGGCTTGTCATGTCCATCGGTTGATGAATCCAATACTCTACTAGAGAGGACTGAGGAACATATGTGCCAACCTTTGTGCTTCTTTTTTTTGACATCTGAATCTCCCAACTCTGCCTTCCGCGCCTTGGCAGGACCATATGCCTTTGCATGCTGGTGACGGCGAAGCAAGGAGTGTGGGTGCTGGAGCAGCCAGGATCTAGCGTTCTCGAATTTTACCCTGCTTGGCTTCATTTTCTCAATGCCCTCTACCAATGGTATGGAATGAAAAGTGTTAGGTCCTCAGTTTCGCATTAGTGAGCATATGACCAATAAAGGTTTGACACTCCGAATCGATTCCAATCACAAAAAATCAATAAGGTACGCCGGGTTGCTTGGTGGATGTCAAGGTATGGAGCCAAGAGCCCTAAAAGACAATATGCCTGGGCCAACTCTCCGGCAATTCTTCGTCTTGATGTTGGCTGGAAGAAAATGAAACATACAATTCGCACATGCCACCAGTATGTGAACAAAAATGGGAAGCGGTGCTGGCATGGGTCGTCACAACTCAAACGCACAGAGTCCCTCAACAGAACATATCCCTTTCTTGGCTGTGAAAATCTCTGCAGTTTTGGGTAGTGGTTTGCTTTGGAATATCCGAAAGGTTTATGTGCTTAATAGCTTCTTGCAGGGCCCCAATTCTTAGCATTCCCCAATGGCCGAGCTTAGGAATTACCCTCGACCTTTTGTGCAAGCTATTGTTCGCTTGAGGGATGACCTGGTGAACCGTGGCACTCGGCACTCATACCCATCCCCAATGCCAACTGGGGTCTCGACTGTGCAGGCAGCTTGGCAAGATGATGAGGGCCTGTTCAAGCAGGCTCGACTGTCAGAGGTGGTTGCCTATTTGAGGCTGGGGTCAAGTTTGAACCTGCCAAAGCACTGGCGGGAAACCATCCCACGTCCTGATGGATTTTAGAATCTTTCTGGAACCTAGAAAGGTTTGACTTGCTGCAGAGTCGAATTTGGGTATCGAATGCTGGAAACTATTGGATTTCTCGGTACCCATGATCGAATATATCGATTTTTTAAGGTCGAAAGTCGGGATATCCCATATTCTTCCCGTAAAATCCCATATTCTTCCCATAAAATCCCATATTCTTCCCATACATCTCCCATATTTTAGCAAATCCTGGAAATCAAAAACCCGTAAAAAACCCATAAAAATCCCATAAATTCCCATACAAATCCCATAATTTCCCGTAATGAAAAATCAGGATATGCAATCTGCAATATTTTGGGGTTCGACTCGGTTTTTTGTCGAAACCGACTGATAAGCTATGAGGACCCAGTTCGACTCAGGGCCAGCTTTGAGACTCAATTCACTGTGGAATGAGCCACAGCCTTACGATGCAAACCTTGAGGGGAAAATGGATACAAGTGCTTCATGGAAAATGCAGTATAGATGGGGTGGAGAAATTCTTCATTCATTGAACATACTCAAACTAACAGATTGTAATCGCAATTTCCTCTTGGCAGGTGCTCAAGCTGTTAGAAACTCAAGATAGGCATGTCCAAACGTTGGTCTTGCGGCAGTTTGGGAGAAGGATTCAATCAAGTCATGGACGACGCTTTGGCTGCCGATGAAGCTGCAATCCAGAAGCAAATTCAGGACTATTCAAATGACTCAAAGATGTACAAAGTACACTTGTAGTGAGCTATCAGCTTAAGATGATTTCGGTTTACAAATCAACCCCTTTTGGCTGGAGGATATCGAAGGTCAGATTGCCGCTATCTCTCTTGAACTCGGTGACAAGACTGCCCTGGCCTCATCGACTTTCCAGCAGGTTGGTCCACTGCCAAATCCAGCCTCAGGTGGACAAGGAAGATGGTGTGTCCATCGAAGTCCCGACTCCGAGCACAGTTCCAGGAGATACTTCAGAGGCAGGGTGTGTTCTGGGTTGTCTTGGATTTGGGTTGTTTGGGATTTGAAATGTTTTGGAACTTGAGCTTTATTTTCCTGTCATTGTTTTGAGACAGGCCACTTCTGATGCTTCGGAACCTACTTCAGGATCAGCACGTCCAAAGGACTTTGAATATGAGAACGCAGTTGATGATGGGTACTACTTTGTGGGTGATGGACCACAAGATGATGATTCTTGCCTCAAGACTCTTCTTGAATTCCTAGTCCTAGAAAAATTGGCCATTATAGCAAAACAAAACGGACTTCACTACTTGTTCTGATTGTTCCCAGGAAGTAGCTGTTCATGACCTTTCCGTCCAACTGGCTCTTGCGCTTGGAGGGGACCTCAAAATGAAGGAAGAATCACTTGACACAGATCAGGGGCCAGTTGCCGATACTTTGGATGGTGAATGCAACCCAGCCCCAGACTCGAAACCGACTAAATCCCGGCTCACCCGTCGTGTCCATTGCAAGCATTGATTTGATCCAAGCAGAGTATTGCAATATATTGCAATGAATCCAAATCAAGACGAACATTGTTTCAGTTTCTTGATTGTTTCGTCGGTTAGAAAAAAGATAGCAACACTAAGGAGCTTCTCCGCAATGCTGCTAAAGCTAGGATTCGGAGAATGGTCGCCAACAAGAAGAAACGGAGTGATTTGCAGTGCCCTCCATGGCTGAAAGCTGAATGGGAGAAAGGAACTGAGCAAAAGGAGAACATGGCCGCATGCCTTCAGGCAGTCAACTGGGACAAGGTGGGGTGGCTTTATATTTCCCATGTCAGATTATCATACTATAGTTTATATGTTTATATCATCAGGCAGACTTATCTCCGCTTCACCATCTAATCGAAAGACAAAATTCTTAATGCACCCTACCCTTGGGCCTTTGTTGAGGCCAAATTCATAGATGAAATGGAAAGGGTCGTGACTTCCCGCAAGAAGATCATAGTGAAGAAGGAGGAAGGTTGGTATTCCGAAGCCGAGATGAAATCTGACTTATGTTGGCAGCAGTCGCTCACCTGAAATGATGATCTTACTTACACAAAGCAATCTTGACAAATCTTGACAATATGTTTGAAGCATGTTTCAAAATCCCATTTACAAGTATTTTTTCGGGGGCCATCCTTCCGTCCGATCTATCAGGTCGCGAGTGACCGGAGCAAAGGCCTACTGCACGGATCCAAAACGGCATGCCACCCATACCCGGCCAGGGCCCCAGCTGGATGGACTCGAAGGTTTGCAGGTCCAAACGCCAAACAGTTTGGCCTTAGCACACCAGCTCAGGACAAACGTATATGACAATATTGTGGAGTATTGGGTGACAGTTCGAGAACATGGAGCCTACGAAGAGGAACATGAAATTTTGGAAAGAAAGAAGTCGACTCGGAAGGCCGCATTTCTTAGTCCTTCATTTCGACAAACAATTTTGCATCCTATTCCAAAATTATTTGCTCGAATTTTTGAGTGTGGAAACCATGGAAACTATGGTTTTGGAATCTATACCTCATGAACAAAGCTTGACAGGCAGATGAGGCTGTCGAGATTTCCCCCGGTACTTTTGGCCAAGTCCAAGCCCTAATGGATCGCGGAGCCCTTGATGGGGCGGATGATGCGAACAAGGAATTGCCCGATGGAAAAGTTGCTGAGGCGGGGTTGCAAGTCCCAACAAGTATGATGTATGAACCACATTTGAAAAGTTCAATTTGCCGATCTTTGCTCGCAGAACAAAGCGCACTTCAAGCGATTCATGGACTCCGTCCTTACCAAATCCACGAAGCTGAAGGGACTTGTGAAGGACTTGAGGGACAATTATGAGAATGACACCGCGAAGCAGTAACATGTTTAAAATTCGCACTGTGGATATATACTCAAGTTTATTGACTTAATAGGCTTCGCCCTTTTCCATGGTTTCAAGCTCAGGTACATCAGCCAGCTTGAACAACATGTCTCGAAGCTTGAGAAGGAATACGATGTGTTGACAGAGACCATGGCCAAAGGGGAGAATTCCAAGTATGATGCTGCGTCGGGGACCCAAAAATATTCATGTTTAGTGCTTGCTTCCCATATTTAATGCTCATTTCCCATATGTTGTTTAAAGATATATTCGGCGCATTGAAACTTAGGTGGTGGAATCTGGCCCATGAGGCCATGAAAAAGGTGACTTTTGTGCCAGGGACTTGGTGTGAATTCCGTCACCAAGTGCCTTATGGATGAACCCACCCGGCCATTGAGGTCCAGTCGGGCCACTGCCGAAGAGCAGAAAGTGCGGTTCGGACCTCAACACATTCCAGGTGCATGCACGTCAGTGCCCATGCTATTCTCGCCCAGGAAATCCAAACAGTTTCTGACCAAGATGTCCAGCCCTGGTCCGAACAAGCCTCCTGGTGGATCTTCGACAAGGGGGAATAAGAGACCCAGTGGCAATGGTGATTCCAATAAGAAACCAAAAAAGGCGAAGAAGAGAGCTTAGGCATCTAGATTTTCACTGTTTTCTTTAACAGCTGGGTTCAGTTCTTTGCTGGGGGGCTCGAAAATGTAGTGACATACAAATTCAAAATCACACATTGTCTCATCTTATCTTAACATCAAAATTTCCCGCCAATGTTTGTATCCCAGCAGCCCCTCGGCTTTGAACAACTGGGAGCTCCATCGCTTTTGTCAGCCTGGCGTTGCGTCAATTGCCACTGTCGATACATGCAGTGGAACAAGCCAGTGGCTACACAGGGTGGAGATTCGTTGGGGCAAACCGGCCTTAGTTGAAATTTATGGCCGTCCTTGACTATCAAGGAAACTAGGGTAGGATCAAATGCTGGAGCGAGAAAATATCAGATTTGCCTTTGCCTCAATTGTGTTTTGAAAGCTTAACTGATCAACACCTTCTTGTCTGCAAAGACTGTTGTAAAAACGTTGGCATATGATTCGATCTTTTTTGGGCCAGGTGCTGGCCCTGGCCTCCGACGCTTTGTCCATGAAATTGGCGAAGGGGTTCCCGCCTCAGATTTTCTGCTCACAACATTTTCCAAATCAAGATGTCTCCAAGTCATGCCCTAAGTTGATATACAGCTACCTTCTAACCCTTATTGTGTTATAATATCTTTCATATTTCTTGTATAAATTATATGCAATTTACCTTCGCTCTGGGCTGCTGGTGCCTGGCAAATTGAATGAAAGCGAGCTGCTACTGACGCTAAGGTGGCATGCGCAGTGGCAATTCGTACTGCCAAAGCAGTCGTGGAGGAGGTCCCTAGCGCTGCCCAAAGCAGTGTGGCATCTCTAGCCGCATGTCGTGAAAACAACAGTGAGAGAGACACAGGGCGTGTAGCAAAAAGATTCGGTTTGAAGCTGCCTATTCCTTTGAGCAGAGTTCAGCTTGGGAGCGATGAGATTCCTTTCCTGAAAATGAGTGACTGGGCTACTTTCATCCTTCAGGCCCATCTCTGGCACAGGCTGTGTGGCTTGACAGATCGTGACCAACAGCGATGTTGCGACATTTGGCAATCTTTCTGGACTAGGTACCAGAAAATCGAGCCGAACCATCCAATTTACAAGCGCCCTGGCCACGATTTGTCGAGAACTTGTGCACTCTTGCTGCACGGAGATGAGGGAAGGTCTTTGCGGAAATCAGCTCTGATGGTTATATCAACCCATTCCATTTTGGGTTTTGGGCTTTCAACTTCCAAGCATGAGAAGAAATCGAAGCGCTTGGCTCAGAAACTCAATTATGAACAGCCTACTTGGACAACCCGATTTTTGCTTTCAGTTCTTCCAAAGAGCTACTACAGTGAAGAAGACGATGCTGCTTTGGATTCCGATCCTTTCCAGGACCTGATGGATGCGATTTGCATTGATTTACGGAGCTTGTATGACAACGGGATAGAAACCAAGGATGGTCGTTTCTATTTCTGCGTTGTCAAAGTGATGGGCGATTGGCCATTCATACAAAAATGTGGATCACTATCCCGTACATTCATGAACATCTCCAAGGCTGCCAGTAGCCGTGCCCCTCCGAAGGGCATTTGCCACTTGTGTTGCGCTGACATGACAGGCGTTGAGTGGGAAAACTTCCACATCCGTCCTCCAACTTGGGTTCCGACAGTGAATACTTTGAGTGCATTTTTGACACTGCCAAAAGTCTTGCAGCTGCCAATGGAAGAATCTTTCAGAGAAAATTTCTTTTGCTTCGATTTGTTTCATGCATGGCGCCTCGGAGCAGGGAAGACGTTCCTGGCATCTTGCTTGGCAGTTTTGGCCATCAGTTCAGCATACCAAGGGAGCGTCGAGAGCAGGTTGGAGAAGTTGAATGCCGAGTACATTCAATGGAAAAAGGCCACGGGTTTCACTTGCCAGCTCAGGAGAATCAACAGGGCCAAACTGGGATGGTCGGCAACAACGGTATTCCCAGCCGGCACATGGTCGAAGGGAAGCACCACCACATGTTTGATGCGTTTCTTTTTGGCAATGTGCCAGAAGCATGGTGAGCACGTCAATGGTGATTTGCTGCTTCGATTCGCTTTTGGTGCGGCCAAACAAATGGATTGTTTTCTCCACGGTCTTTACAGCTGGGAGTTGTGGATTCCAAGCAATGCAGCAAAAGAAATTGCTGTCTCGGGCGCCAACTTTTTGAAATTGCATGGGAAAGCTGTGCAGATTGCCCACAGTCAAGGCCAACTTTTTTTTCTGCTGATGCCAAACTTCCACCGAATCGACCATTTGGTGTGGGACATGGAAACCCAGGCTGCCAAAACCAATTTTGTTCTAAATCCTTTGTATTGTGCAACCCAGAGCGACGAAGACTTTATCGGGAGACCCTCCCGGCTAAGCCGGAGGGTCTCCCCGAGACTCACAATACAAAGAACCCTTGAGCGTAGTCTTGTTGCAGCCTACGCGCAGTATGTGGAGATTGGTGCCCTGGTTTTGAAAGCCTGAAGAAATTTAGATTGACAACATGGTTCTGAAATATTCTAACCAATACCCTGCCACTTTGTTTGGGATCCGGGCGCATTCGAATGGGCCATTTCCACGGCGTTGAGCCGCAAAAGGTGGCAGCACAGCGAGGCCGAAGGAAAACAAAACACATGCTCGAACAGAACAGGGCAAAACCTGGTTTTGCTCTCGAAAGTTTGGATTTTTTCGACATCCTGGAAATTCTAAGGCTTCGGAGGTAGAAGGTATATATATTAGCCAATGACATTTGTTCGAACAAACCTAGCAGACTTGAATAAACCCATCCCAGAAAGAAGAGAGAGAGAGAGGGAGCCTGTCAGGTGTTGTACGAGGAGGCAGTCGGCATGTGATCTCGGGGCCATCCTGTGGCTATGGGTCAAAATCGGCTACAGAATGGAATGGGACAGTGTAGTGCCTGTCTGATGGCCCTAAAATTTGACCCATACCATCCCATACCCATTGAGAGTCAGAGTTGGTTACAAGCAATCTAACAAAGTCCTTGGGAGGTCAGTTCAGAACGTGGATCGCCCCAGATGCACAGAAAAGGCGCGGGTTGGCCTTTTCCCAGTTTTTGTCGTGGCTGTCTCGCCGGAGATTTCAAGCAGCCAGGCAGGTGCCTCTCCGATGAATCGCTACCTTGTCCGCTGGGAAGGACTGGTTTTATGCGGATTCCATAGAAACTCTCGATGTGTCTGAAACTTGGGGATTGAAATGGATTGTCATAGAAATGGATGATGGGAAAATTTACAGGAAAACCCTATATTTGATGGTAAAAACCGATGGGTTTTTCCTGTAGATTTTCCCAACAAAACCAACCCAATGAGATTGTTTGCCCCCAATTTACGGCAACTCATCCACATCGAAAGTGATGATTACCAGTGGATGGCAACCAAATGGTTCAAGTGGCTATTCCGACTCTCAGAGGTCGCACGTCATGAGAAAACATCAGGAGTCCACCCTTGTCGCTGGGCCCACAGACTCCGAAAAAACCTGAAGATCCAGCCGCGCATTGATAGGTTTCATGATGTTTTTTGAGTTGAATCCCAAGTTCTCCATGTTTTTTGCCCAAGGCCCTCTGGAGGTGTAGCCGCCACAGGCCCGAGTCTGACTGGCCATGTTCACGCTGCACAAAGATGGCACTGCGATTTCTCAGGTGAAGACTTTGTGCTGCACGATGCGCTACACGTGGGCCCTCTGGACATTGCATCATCCATTGGTCGCTGCCCAAGTGCCGCTGGGTGCCGCTGGTCTCGGTTTTGGCCTTTCTTTTTGAGTGCAAAGGTGGTGCAGACCCAGCTGTGGTGTACGTGAGGCATGGCAGGGAACATCAGGGAACTGTGTGAGATGTGAGCCACGGAGATATCGGAGATATCAAATACTCAGCATATTTAACTACTCAACATTACTCAACTTTGGCGCCCAAGAAGCGAAAACTTGGTCTTGCAGCGAACAAAATCAACACCAAGAGCGACTCCAAGTTGCCAGGCTGTCCAACTTCGCGGCACGGCGACGAGGTTGCCTGCGGCTGCATCAAGAGGCGGAAAAGGAGGACTTGGACCTGGAACCGTTTTCGTTTGACTCTCAGGGAGCCCAGCCCATGCCATGCTTGGCACATCTTGGCACAGCCACGGTCTAAGGCCAGTTCTTCATCCTTGCAACGGCAGCGACCTGGATCCATTGAGACCTTGTTTTGCCCAAGCAGCAAGTGGTTGCGAGGTGATGTCAAAATTCAAGACCCAAGAAACAACAGGGTTTGCATGTTTTTGCTGATTTTTCGGACTACATTCCACCCCATTCCACCCATTTTTGGGGGTCTGAAAAATTTCGACCCATCCCATGCCATCCCCAGATGGAAGCGGCTTTGAAGCCCGGCGGAAGCGGCGGCGCAGCCGATCTGGGAGCGACTTCTCACAAACCTCCTCCACCTATGGAAGCTCGCCAAATCTGCAGGCCGCCAGATTAGCAGCCTGGGGTCACTGGGGTCTTCTGGTGGTTTTTATCATCGATTTGGGATGATTTGGCACACATTTTGCCGGTCATGGATTCCCGTTTTGGGAATATACATGAAGAGTAACATCACTGATGGATGGTAAAATGGCTGGGTGATTTTTGAGCGGGACATTTAACGTCACCTTGGGTTTCCTCGCTTCAATTTGCTGCAGTTTGATTTCACTCTTCATGTCTGGAACATGGGGGATCCCCAGTCGTCACCATGGTTGTTTCAGATGTTTCAATACTATCAATACTAAATATACTAAATATACTAGTTATACTAAAATGTTCTAACAGTTTGAAACACGAAGTATGGTTCCCATGGTTGTTCCAATGTTGTTCCAATGTCACCATGGTTGTTCTAAGCCGTGGAGGTCTCGACTGGGCCTGTCCGAGAGGTCTCGGCTGAGTCGACAGGCAAGAGATGGCGATTTTACTGCAGCGAAAGGAGAGGGCCATCTTAAATGAGTGTAAAACAGATTCCAATGATGTATATTGATGGGTCATGACAGTGATAATATGTGATAATAACATTAACAATAACAATAAGATACAATCAATCATATGATATAGTTATATAATGTTCTATACACATTCATTTGTTGGCTGATCGACCACGGCGCCGCTTATGTCTCTAGATTTTGCTAGGCCTAGAAGAGCTCAGACCCAAGGACCTGGAGGATTCTGAGAGGCTTCCTGTTGCGTCCGAAAATCCGGGATACCACGGGATACCATGGGATAAACTGGGTACTTTGAGAAACCGATGATCAGTTATTGATAGTATCATTGATAGTTCTTTTGAGCTTTTGGCTGCTTTTTTTTTTTGGGACACCCAACTGGTCTCCTTTTCTCTTGCCAACCCGGCACAAAAAAAAATCGGAGGTTTCCGCCAAATTTGGCGCTGGAAAGATGCAGCACTTGGAGCGCCTCTGGAAGACCTGCCGCTGGAGAGCCAGAGGAGGAGGAAGCGCCTCGGTGGCCTCGGTGGCCTCAAACGTTCACCGGTGACTGGATCGATGGATCGTGAAACATCGGAAAGGTCATCGATGCAGATCCCCCGAAACCGCTTAAAGCCCGATCCAAAATGTGGTTGGTGGTTTCTATTTCTTTTAGATGTTAAATCAAAACGATCAAAATCCCCTATGACTCTTAGTTATCCCATTGTTTTTTTGATCGGGGAAGGGTCTTATCCCATTTATATTCCATGAAAACATCAATATCCCATTAACATTCATATCCCATCAAGATTCCATCAAGATTTTTCACATATCCCGGATAGCCATCCCATGATTGGATAAAACATCTTCTCATATAAACTTGCTTAGTTACCCTATATAAAGTAAACTAAGATTCGTGGGAATTACCCCTAAGGTAAACTAACATAGATGTGGCTTTCCCCCAGCATTCAGTTTACCAAAAATCCCATCTTCAGGAAATCGCCAGCATCCAGCGGCACCTCGAAACCATGAATGCTGCTGCGGCGGATCTCAATGCTGCGCAGGAGCGTGACCATAAATTTCTGCGACGGTAAAAATATGGCGTAAATGTTGTTGGATTTTTTTTCGGTAGAGTGAGGGTCTGCGATAGCTACTGCAGATATTCTGATATTTCTATACGTTCATGAACATTTGGAGTAATTTATATTACTTATTATTGATGTCTATGGGCTAAACGATTGGGTAATTAGATTTATGTAATTGGGGAGATGAACATTTGGGAGATTGATGTTGATGTAATTTATGTAATTTATTTATATTTATTATGTATTCTGAAATGTTGATTTTGGGATCTCATTACAAAATCTCATCGTTGCTGTGCCATGTCAAGCCCTGCCAGGAGTCCCTCAATGCTTGCCTGAAACGTCAGCGCTCACTGATCCAGCTATGGGCGGTTGTCAATGCCCCTTGGCAGCACCATTTCTGTGCTCGCTGCATGAACTAAAGACGTTTGTAATGTCTGGATTTTTTAAATGAACTTGTGGTGAACTGCATGCTTGGCAGCTTACATCTCATCATGGTTGTACATTGACTTACATACATATAATACATTGTATAATCATATACAATTACATGTAATTACATACATACAATGATACACATTTACATGCATATAATACATACAATGATACACATATATATATATACAGACATATAATACATAATGACAGTGCTTGTCCCAGCGCCAGCAAAGGCAAGACTTGCAAGAGCTGTGGGCTCTAATCACATCGCCAAGGCTTTGGAAACGAAACACCAACTGAGCAGGCTTCAACCTGCAATTTGTTCTGAAAGCGTTTATGTCTCCCAAACAATTTGCAAAGCGATTCTACATGGGGGTTTGCTACAATTGGGTACTGGGTACCCCCAAATCATGCATTTTAACAGGATTTCCACCATAAACCATCCATTTTGGGGTACCCACCCATTTTAGGTAACCTCTACATTGCTTTGCATCGTTTGTTAGTTGTCTTCGTCGCAGTGGCTCATTCCCCAGCTCCGTGCGGAGCAGCAACTTTCAGATCACTTGGGGCAAATTGCCAGCTGAGAACCTCAATGACCCAGGTAAGCAAATCACAGAACGCAAGTTGATTTCATTGTGCAATACATAGATAGTCCTTTAACGACAACATAAACACTGCGAACAACTTCGGGGCGTCACTAAGAGTTGCAGCGCATGTGCGAAGAGGACATGGCCGTGCCAACCTGAGGCTACTCTCAGTCTTTGCGCATGGGTCGCTCGCGTTCGATTTGCCCAGGCCTGCGCCAGGCGCAGAGTCCGTCCGAGATGACAAGGTCTCGAGGGCGAAGCGGATTCAGTGCAACCTTTTGGCGAAACGGACCATGGCCAGGACTGAGGAGGTTAGAGACCTTTGTCACGAAATCCTGCGACTCTATGGCAACCCCGAGGCGGGATCGAATGAAGAGCTGCATCTGGATGGGTCAAAGAAGATTGCAGCATGGATTGATGCTGAATGATGGACTTTTCATGGCCTTGCTACAAGTCGCAGCAATATTGCCTCAAGTAAACTGGACACCAGCAAATTCCGCTCATTCCTTGTTAGCCATGCCAGCAGTCATGCGGCTTGGATCGCATCCTCCTGATGGAACATGTTGCACAATGTTGCACATATGATTCAGCTGTAAACACCTGGCCTGGATGCCTTTGAGGTCCCGCTTCGGTGGAGTTGCACTCAGGAAGGTGGCAAGAGCCGGGTGACTTCCTCGGAACTCCAACGCTTAGAATGAGCATATTAGAAATACATCTGGGGGTTTCCATAAATGGGGGATACCCCGGCCCAATAGCTATAGATGGTTTCCAATGGAAGATCCCCATCTAAAATAGGGATGATTTGGAGGTACTATGAGGTATCCCCATGGATTGGAAACCCCCATCTCAAGATATACAAAGAGCATAGCTGGCTATGGATGATCTGATCAGGTTTCAGCTGCCTCAAAGCCGCTTCATTGCAGCGGTGGATCCAGTGATTGCTCGCGCGCAGCACGGCATGGATGAAAATGTAGTTGGGTCCACCATGGGTCGACCAAATTCACCGCTATTCCACTAGTGAAGGATCATCTCCCCATGAATTTCGTTGACCGTCAAATGGGGGGATCTGGGGGGCATGCTCCATTTTCAGACGAATCCTCTCCGTGCGGCATTGTGCGTGGCATTCGAGATTCAAGCGCATGAGATTCGGTGATTTATGGAAGTTGAGGAAAAAATGGTTGACCATCGAATTTCCATGGGTTTTTCCCATGTTCTCCATCTTTTTTTTTTCGATTTCCAACATTTTTTCCATGGTTTTTCCACTTCCTCTGTGGGTAAACTGAAGTTTTCAGACGTTTCCCGAGGCGCGAGATGCAGCAGCTGCCATACGATGAGGCCAAGGAGGGAGTCATCAGGGCTCCTGACTACGCAGCGCGGCCGCAGACGTTGAACGCCTTTGGGCCATTGATGTTGACCCATCGACCCACAGGTCATTCTGAGGCAAAAAGTTTAGTCAACCTTCATCAACCTTCCATTTTGGGGAGGTACCACCAGTGGTACTTGTAAACACTCCGGATTTTATTAAGATTCTGCAGAGCTAAAGATGAAGCTTGCAGTTCGAACACAAAGCTTTCAGTTGCCGAATCTTTTAAGGTCGGCTGGGATCAAGAGATTGACACCGACTTCAAGAAGCTCACTGTTGGCCCCATCAAGGGTGGCAGGCCATGTCTTTGGCTGCCCACTTTCGTCGCATTTTGGTCTGACACAAAAAACCTGATCTTCTGAGGCCTTACCAGAAGATTTGCGACTCCGCCCTTGACTTGATTGGCTTCACCCCGCGCCACGGCAGCACTAGGATGCTTCAGAAGTGAGCAATTGGTTGATAATTGCAGGGGATTATACTCTAACCAATGTATTGGGGAATGTCACAATCCATTAAAAGGAATCCCTACCAAACTTACTTTGCGTAACTTTTGAGGATGGTGCGCATGTCGCGCTTGGCAAACTTCTTCGCAAAAGCCTCAGAGCTGTGTTGAAGAACAGCTTGTGCAGTGCTACAGCATGTCACAGCCAGTTCAGGACATGAGATGGTGCGACAGCAATAGACATGACCCAAATGGTTGCTGAACTTATGTTTTTTTTTTTTAAATATAAGGATGTTGATTGCGAAATGGTCGCGAAGGCCAGGTCCTCAGCAGGTCACGGTCGTCACAGCTTTTTCGTCGTCGATCCCATGGCTGGTGAGCTTTCGCAGGTGGAGCTTTTCAACGCCGGAGGCTCTGTGAAGGCACTGGGACCTTGATATCAATTGCTGGAATATCGTTGCTGGTTTGATTCGGATACACCCTTTTCAAGGTAGATGGCTCCGCCCTCTTCCAAAGTGCGCGTATAGATGGCGCCGACTTTTTGAATTTTGACACCCGAAAAGGGCGTGACATCCATCCCCGTTATTTTTGTGGGCCGCGCCATCTATGCCAGAAAATGTTTCAGGGTTGCGCCATCTATGCAATGATTCTTAAGTCCAAAGTTTCCAAGCCTCCATTTCCCTTCTCCTCTCCCTTTGCCCTTAACTTCCCCTTTCTCCTTCCTCCGTTCCCTTTCTCATTCCCTTCCCCCTTTTCCTTTCTCCTTTCCCTTTCACTTTCTTTTTCTCCTCCTTTCCCTTTCCCTTTACAAATGGAACGCGCTGGTAACCTATTGATGGCTCAACCCACAGCTATTTATGGTTTCCCAAAGAAAAATCCTGTTGCCTCCCTTTCGTTTTCTCCTTTCTCTCCTCCTTTCAATGTCCCTGTCCCTTTTTCCTTTTCCCTTGTCCTTTCCCTTTCCCCTTTCTCTGCAAAGATGGTTTGCCAGTGTGTTGAGCCATCTCTCCATGACACAAGCGGATGGCACTGTCCCAGGGGGTTGCGCCATCTATTTAGTAGTGAGAAAAAAAAAACGAGAAAAACTATTGTTGAACACACATCCCCGTTATTTTTTCAACGCTTTGATGACCGAAATGTCCGGTCCCGGAAGAAGGGATTTAAATTAAAAATGGGGTAGATGGCGCAATTTGGCCCATTTTGCACATGTAGGGTTGCGCCATCTTCTGGGCACTTTTGCTGTTTCGGGTACATATCTTAAAAAAAAAATCACTGTTAAATAGATGGCGCAACCACCTCTGAAAAAGTAGGTCTGAGCCATGTACTTTGAACCCGGAGTATATGATATATATATATCTATTATATATACAATTACATTTTAAAAAAATATTCATATATTATATTTATATTATATATATATATATTGATATTACTTTTACAGTACATATGTGTAAAGTATTTGAAAGTATCATCTTCCTTGAGATGATCGTCCCCTCGAACTCGCACCAGAAAAGCTCCTGGCTCTGTGAAGCCGTCTTTTGTCAGGACCGTATTGCCAAGAGAATGGTTGAGGAGGCTGAGAAGACACTTGGTAGCGCCATGGGTCGACAGAATTGCACCGGAGAGTTTCCACAGACCATGGCAGACCGTGGGAGACTGGCCGTGAATTTGGTGATCTAAGGAGTGGCCGAATTAAGCCTGGTCCGGGTCTCAGTCTTCTTGGTGGTTTGCTTGGTGGTTTGCTTGGTGGTTTTTATTTTGACTTTGCTGCTAGTGATGATCCCAAGATCAGCATAGATCAGCCCCACTCGACCAGGTGACATCCTCATTGAGGCCACCAGCGGCAACACTGGCGTCGGCCTGTGCATGGTCTCTGCCATCAAAGGCCAGTCGTAGCATCGTAGCAGCTGGGATCATTGGACAGCGTGGCCCAGATGGCTTTGTCCTGGGAATTTCAGTGAATTTTATACATATGATGTTGATTTATGTTGATAACTTAAATTCTCCAGATGATATTTAATCCATCTAAGATTTCATAAATGCACCAGATGATAACCCACTTAGGATTTCAAATGCTCCAGATGATAATCCATTTAACATTTCACAAGCTATGAGAAACCATTTGATTTGTACGTCCCATGGGGTTCCCTATTCTGAAAGCGCCAAGTGATGCTGTTTCCAGGCTACAAGCAGATCATCTGCCTGCCAAAGTACCCTGGGCGGAAAGTCCTTTGAACATTTTGAAACGGAGTTGGAAGAGTTGGGACACGTTTTTCACGGTTACACAGTTATCTAAGTTGTATAAGTTACATCAGCATGAACTTGATGAAAAATGGATGAAATCACGTGAAATCCTCCTCTGAATGATGAAATGGCAGTGTGTCAAAACCCTGGTACCCCTGTAGTTCACATCAAAATAGCTGGGATTTATGGATGTTCATCCCACTAAGAATGCTATTAATAGGTATTGATCCATACCCAAATGGATCACATCCCCCCATTTTTGGAGCCCAATGATCCAGTCGAGGAAGATGTCCGGTGAGAAGGTGAACACCATGAAGTGCCTTGGTGCTGAGATCCTCCGAACCCCCACCGAGGCCCCGGTCCGGTTGCATAGGCGGCCATGGGGCCATGTTTTTTTTTTTCGGTTCCAATCTATGGCCATTTATGATGGCTGGGGAAAATGATGAAACTTGAGGATATATGATGGGGTATAATTATCAATGTCTTTCTGTATATCTAATTCAATGTATATATTTTGATGACACACCCTCATTGTTCACAGCAGTTTGTTGGGACCTCTCCATCACCAAGAAAGGGCTGCCACCGTAGGCCGCCTGGGACGCCGAAGACAGCCACATCTTCCTGTCTGCCCGCCTGGCGAAAGACCTCGGCCGGGACCCCACAAGAGAGAGGCGGATGGTGCGAAGAACCAAGACTTGGGCCATTTTTACCCCAGTAAAAATTCGAATTCTCACCAAAAAAAAGGGAGATTTGTATAGATTTCTACAATTTGAGCGAAAAAAAAACAATTTCAGACTGCCTGGCAGTTTCACCATTGATCACCTCAATTTGATCATTGCATCACGACGATTTTTTGGGCCAGGGATCCTTTTTTGGGGGCCCCGAGGTGGTCACGTCCTGGATCAGTACAAGAACCCGGGCAACCCCTTGGCTCACTACGATGGCACTGCCGAGGAGATCGCCGAGCAATGCGAAGGCGGACGGCGTGATGGGGGCACGTTGTAGCCGACCTTGGAAACACTGGGGGATTTCAAGGGGATTTCAGTGATTTAAGAAATTTTAAGAATCAGAACTATCAGAACTGGTGATTGAAGATGGTTTAATCAGTTTAATCATCAAACATTGGTTTAGTTTTATTGGTAGTCCTGGGTAGTTTAACGAGAAAAGATGAGGACTTACCATACTTTATCCAAGCTACTTAGAAATTTGAGAATGGGGGAGAGCTGGGAAAATGAACATCAGCTGGGACTCTTTGTATGGGGTTCCCTGTCTTGAGACAAACCCGATCTACCTGTGGGAGTTTGCTGATTTGGCGCATGGTCTGAGGCAAGTTGGACTACATGATCATGCATCTTGGATGCAATGATGAGACCTGCTTTTGAGATCTTTTGAGATGCTTGCTTTCAGCAACCATTTGCAGAGCAGGTCCACCGGAACAGGTGGCACTATGACCGGAGTTGCCAAGAAGCTCAAGGAGAGCCCGCGGTTGCTGGGTGAGAAAATCAGCCCGCAGTTGTCACATGTCACAGGAACTGATCCCTGGCGTGAAAGTCGTGGGAGTTGATCCCTATGGCAGCATTCTGGTCGAAGCCTAAAACCTGGGACGTTTTTTTGGAGGATAGTGCCACATAGTGCCACTAGACATGGTTTCTAGTTTCGAGGCATTCGCAGAAGATTTGGATGCAAGTTTCAAGACCTTCAGATCAATTTGACGACGATTTTGTCTTGAAATTTCCAGCCCCAAAGCCAGGTGGTTGATCATCATTTTCCGAGAAATTTCGACAGCCCCATTTCGACCGACCGACTTTTCGTCTCGCTTTCAGGCGCAGCCTGAGCAGATGAACGAGAAATCCAACCGCACTGGACAGGAGAAGATCCTCGCAGCAAAAACCGCGTTGCGGTCATGTTGGTCCCAGTTGGTTGGTTTCTTTCTGAATGTAGGCCCTGAACCACGTTTGACAGATCTTTGATCTTTGTAGTTTCTGTTGTCTTTTTTTGCATGTATTGGATATATGACGTGTGGGATCATTTGGGATATTTGGGACATGGATCTGCATTTTCTTCAGCATGTTCAGCTCTGGACTCAGGCTGACTGCCTACCAGGTGGAGGGCATTGGCTTCATGGCAAGAGTTTAGTTTGCCACAGATGATTCTCAGTCTCTGGATGGGTGGCTTTGGTGAAGAATTTGTTCAGTGACATTCAGAACACTTAGGTTACGATTTCATCCCAACCGTGCTTGATCGTGAGATCGTCGACTACTGGGTGCCAGTGGCTGCATCAATCCATGGGTATGGTATATCTGATTCAACGTCGTTTGCAAAGACATATCATGGCTCATCAAGACTCAGGTGTAAGCTTAATCCTAGTATTCCTGTAGTATTCCTGTAGTATTCCTGTAGTATTCCTGTAGTATTCCTGTAGTATTCCTGTAGTCTAAAAATGTATTTTGTGTCATTTTGTATGTCAGACTCAGACCCTCAACAGCTCAGCTCCAATGCAGCTTGACTTGCCCAGGTGAAGACCGATGATGATGAAGCATTTGCGATGTGCCGAGCCTTGGTTCGTCGCTTGTCAAGGCGAGAACTGTTGTAAACCTTGGATCTTTCTTGTAAGACTCAGGGGGTTCTAAACCATTCTTTTTTTGCGGGGACACGAAAAGTTGACCGCAACTCATTTGGTTGCAGAACAGGCTACCGGTAGGCTACCATGTACATGAAATCTTGATCTTCGATTTGAACATCAGCCGCCAAAAAATGTTTTTTTGATGTGCTTAATCACTATGTTCATCATTTTCCCAGGTATTTTCCTGTATTTTTCCACGTTTTCCACATGTAAATGGCTTCAAATGGCCATCCATTGGGGTCCCAGGTCATGAGGGCTTGCTGATCGGTGGCAGCTGTGGCTCCACAGTGGCTGGTGCTTACCGATTCATCAAGGAGAACAAAATTCCTAAGGCGCAGCTGATGCAGTTTGTAACTTTAATCTGTTTTGTATACTATAATATATATATATATATACATATGTACATATTTATATTTGCATATGAATATATACATATACAGATACATGTACATATATACGTATATACATACATTTTTTTTGTATCGATAATATATTCGTCATGTTTTTGATGTATTTCAGCATTTATTACTGCTTCCAGACCAAACCATTCAAATCTGGTGTTTGTTTGCCCACCTGCTCAAAGCATTCTGTTTGCTGTCAGGGCAAGCGATGTGCCGTCCTGTTGGCCGATTCCGCCAGAAATTACATGAGAACTTTGCCTGCAAGCAGTTGATACGAGAAGATCAGTTCATGTAGGGTTGACAGTCTGAAATCTGAACTGACTGAGCACCTCATCCTGCGTCCATGCCTTGGTGCCTTTAGGCAAGTTCATGGATGACGGCTGCTTGGCTTTGAACAGATGTAATTTCGCAGCCCGCTCCAAGTTGAATCAGCAATCAGCAACACAGACCCTTGATGCAAAGAAGCGGCTACACAGGATGGATGCAGGAGAACGGCTTCGACATGGCCAAGATGTCTCTTGCAACAGATTGAGGGTGGTGCAATTACGAATGCCAGACCTTTGACATTTTTCCTTCGCAGTTATGAAGTTGAAATGAGGAAGAAAAATGACCTGGTGCAGAAAAGACATTGAACTAACGCCACTTTCCGATCCTGTTCACTTTCAAAGCAAGCAGATAGTGGTCGAATTCATCAGATTTGTGGTGACATGTCGGGATGGCTATCATGAAGCCAACAAGGACCGCTGCCGTGAACGAGAAGGGCGCCTACGACAAGCTGTTCCATGTTTGAACGGCATTTCTGGCTGCACTTATTCTTCTTCAGTGCGACCAAGTTGACTCTGAAAGTGACAGAGTTTTCGAAACCAGGTGAAAATGAGAATGGCTCAAAGATTGCTCAAAGTATGGAACCCCCAGAACCATCCAAAAACGAGTAGTTTTAGTATGCCTGCCATATGTCATCAGGTACCGTACCCCGGAGTCATTGCCGACGGGCCAAAATTGCTTCACCAAGGACTCAGCACATAATGGATATACCTCACGCTGTGTGGCCTGAGCGGTGTCCATGGTGTCCATTTTCTGTAGCCTGAATAAGGTGAACAGACCAATCCATCCAATCTCAACCTTGAGACAATTTTTTCTGGAGAAAGGGCGAAAAAATGCATGATCCGCTCCACCTGGAACTTGGAACATCTTGGAACTCTGCAAACGAAGCAAGAAGTTTCGGTTTAGAACATCTGTTGCTGTGGAACTGGTTCATGCAAGCTCTTAGATTGAGCAAGTTTGATGAAGCTGCTCAAGACAAATGCATTCATAGACAACGTCTATTCTTGCAGTTTTGTGTCAATCGTTGCTAAGAAGATTCGCAAGCTTGACAGCGGAAGAAAAAGATCTCATGCGTTGCCTGAATCTGTACATGACTGAACGCTTTTGTTGAGGTATGCTCCGACATGCCCAGTGTTGGTACTTCTGCGCAATGCATTGTCTTGTGTTGCTTCATGGTGCTTCCCATCCCATTCTTCTGAAGCTGTGTGAATTGTGGTGACATCAGTGACATCGCAGCGAGTCGGGCTTTTCAGTCGTCGCTTTCTGAAGCTGACCCTGGTCAACCAATTTTTCGCCATGGAGTCGACGCTTCGTTTGAATATTTCCTGTCTAGCTCCCAGCGGCAAAGAGGTTCGCAAGTTGCGGATCGCATTGCCTTCCACTCACACCGTGCAGCAACTCCTCCGAAAGGTAGAGGCACACCCAGAGGCCGAAGGTCGTTCGTTCAAAGACCTCCGACTGAAAGGGTCTGGAGCATATCTTCACATGGAGGATCAATTGAAGGATGTTCTCAGAGTGGAAGAACGTGATTTGGAGGCAGTTCCACTTCAATCCAGAAGTCCTGACGAGCACTGGCTTGTTGACACAGTCCGGCATGCCTATGTTCCAAATGAGAAGTTTCGCGAAGACAAGCACTGCAACTTCTTATCTTGCAGAGTGGGTGCCCGAATGGAGATCCATGGAAGGGCAAATGGCTGGTTTTATTGTGTTGACGATCTCGGTGAAAAAGGTTTCGTCCCTGACTGGGTCTTTGAGGACTCTGATCCTCTCAGTGAGACTGATGAATCTACGACCAGTCCTGCGAGTCCTACGGGTCAAGCTTCTACTCAGGTGAAGGCCGAGAAAGACATGTATGGTGAAGGAGGACGTCTACAGGGACTTGGTGTAGTAGACAGAATCCATGTCAGGACAAGTGGCTATGTGGACAGCATCATCTTGTATATGAAAGATGGTCAAGTGTACCGCTACGGGAAGGGAGGATACCGAGATGCTGAGGTCCTTCTAGGTCGCGATGAGACAATACTGAGCATCACGCAGAAAGAGAAGCAATCACTTGGGGAGATTGTGTTTACCACTTCAAAGCGTGAGCTCGTCTCTGGGGGCTGGTGTGGGACTGGAAAGCAATACAAGCAGAATTTCTTTGAATGTCGTCCTGGTCACCAGATCCATCATTTCGATATTGAAGACTCCGTGCTTTGCGGAATCCACTGGGTCGAAATTCCCAGCAACAAGCGGAAGAATGGCTTGGAGGACAAGGATGGCAATGAACTCCAGCTGCAGCCGAAGATGCGAGCGAAGAAGAGCTCTCGTGTCGGATGAAACTGGAGGAATGTGTCAAATGCAATGCTTATTTGATTGTCATGAATAGTCATGATTCCGATCGTAGAATATTTTAGACAAATTTAACAAGTATCTGAGAAATCTGATCTAGTCAGATGAATTATCCTGGAGAAGCCACAAAGACACATGCAGCCCTCGTTTTTGATGGCGTTCCTGGATGCCCGTATGGACCACAAATGTGAGTCTTGAATCCTCGTGCGAGCAAAATCGACCGTAACTTGATGGGAAGGGGTGAAGCATCTGCAAATCATGCAATGATTGGCAGCCGCATTTTTGTAGATATTATACTATTTTGATTTGATCTGATTTGTATATATTGCATGATATTGCTATTTTGATCTATTTTTTGGTGTTTTCTGTGGCCGATGCAGGTCTACGAGCAAGCCAACTCTTTAAATCCTGACAGGCGGATTTTGACAATTTATCTTCATCCCAGGAGTGGATGATGGGACAAGCTGCAGGAACCCCCTTTTTTTGTGATGGCAAAATCCATGCCCAAAACCATGCGTTCCTATAGATTTTCCTGCCAATTCATTGATATCATATCCTATCGTTGGATGTCCTTGCAGTAAGTCGCGCAGCAGGCGCTGCCACTTCTTGGATACATTCCAAGACTTTCTGGAGGAGGGACGCGGACCATGAGAAGTGATTTCTTCATGGAACAGAGTACATGAGTACAGCATGTGCTTCTACTTAATTACGGCACTTTTTTTTTGAGAAATGTAACATTTAAAATTTACAGAATTTGCAGAAGCACAACCTGGCTCTTTCTATAGGAGAAGTACCGAGACCTGCTGCTGGCAGAAGCAACCATTCCTGGTCCTGACAAATCCTTCACTTGCAGAGGTCTCAGCGATTTTAAAGCCCACGTCATTTCAGGAGGAGCACCTGACCCTTCATGACTGGAAATCACAGCAGTTGGATATGTAGTTGCATGATGTTGGATGTATATGGTTGGATCTTGATAAACTCTTGCGGAATTTAGACTTTGACTCTGTTCGGATGTAACCTGTCCAGTGAGGTGGAATGACAGACTCCAGCTGCAACGCCCGCATCCGTCACCTGGCGACCATGGCCGATCTGGCTTTGAGATTTTTGAAGCCCCACGTCCCATGGTGTCATGGCTTATTTTCTTTAGTTATCATGATTCAGGTGAATTACGGATAATTGCTTGAGAACTCCACAGAGTGACAAGCAATAAGTGCAAGCGACCTGATATGAACCGGCTGCCATTTTGGCTGCAAGTTTTAATCATGGGTGGCCTCTGACACCCTTCCTTAATTTGTGGGGGGGTTCAGAGGCGCGATGAGCCTGTTTGGGTCTTGGGCTGAAGCAGCTCAGTTTCGAGACTTGGAGGAGGTAAAGGATTTCTTGGGCCTGGGAAGACAGGTATGGGTGGCATTCACCACCCAAGTTGGCGATCCAGCCAACGATTTACGGCTGTTTGCAGCCTTGCCGAGGGTGGCCATTGTGGGTGCCTGCAATCAGGCCACCTTTCCCGATGGCAGCCCGTTGTTGCCCCTCCAGGCTACTCAAGTGGGGTTGGTGTGGCGCCTTTGCAGGAAGGTGGTAGCGGCAAGAGCTGGCACAAGAGAAGACCAGTTCGTTGACATCGACCCTTGGCATGAGCCCACAGCTTCGAGCACGGGAACGGCTACGGGAGGTATTGGACCACCAGGGCATGGTAGTGCAGTTGGGTCGAGCTCACAGCAGTCTGGCCTGAAAGAGAGGATCCTGAAGATGTCGACGTTAGTAGATGCTCAAGATGAATCAGAACTATTGCCCCCATCGAATGAGGAGGTGAATCAATGGACGCAGGCCTATGTCACCATCATGGGCTCCTTACCTGACCCTGCTGAGGAACCCACGTCAGCGCAGTTGGCAGCGTTGGCAAAACGCACAGTAGTTCATGATTGTGCGCCCTACACAGACTTCAGTGTGTGGACACCGTTTGCAAGGAGGACTATGAAGAACCAGAAGTATCGCACCGTGTTTCCCCTGGGTGACGGGTCCTACCTGACAAAGGAGTTGCCGGGCCCGAGTACCTTTCAGGCCTGGTTGGGGTGCTGGCGAGTGTTCAAGTCAGCTGCATTGATGTTGAACATATGCACATTGGCCTCGCTGACTAGCTACGAGCGCTTTGTGGAGAGGTTGACAACGCAGTGGCCGATGTGTTGGGGCCTAATAGCTCAGGCCGATGACAAGATGCGGGCTGAGGGCTTGGAGAGACTGAGAAGGAGGATTCTGACCTCAGAAGCGTTGGGAAGACAAATTCCCATCAACTGGGACCCTGCCAGGCCATGGACAGCAGTTTTCGACCTGGCAATCCAGGACACCGAGTACTGGGCGGAGAACGTCCATCACCCAGCTGCAGCGTGGTTGGCGGCAGGAGGACGTGGAAGGCCAGTAGTAGCTTCTGAAGTTGCTCTTCACGCTCATATGTTGGGGGGCACGGATCTGGTGACCGAGACGATGGGCGACGAGGGCAAGAAGCGTGTGCAGGCCAATAGAGACAAGAGAGCCGCGAGAAAACGTAGGCTGTTTGAAGATAAGGAAGAGCTGAAACGCTTGCGGGGTAGTCACTCGAACGGAGGTGGCAATGAGACCAAGGTGCACCAGGGTGGAAAGGGCCAGTCAAAGGGAAAGTCCAAAGACCAGAGTGGCAAGCCGCTTTGTTTTTCGTGGAGCGCAGGCAATGGGACCTGCGGACATCTTAGCCCGGGTGCAGAGTGCCTGGGGACGGTGAAGCGGGTCCACAAATGTAGGATCTGCCTTTCGCCGAGTCACCAAGAGGCGAAATGCACCTCGAAGTGAGGCGCCAGCGAGAAAACCTCAGGCATGAAGTTGCGAGTGTCCGGGGATCAGTTTTCTTGTTGTGAGGGTTTTGGAATTTTTGCATGGTGTTTGAAAGGTAGGTTAGGTTTGATAGCATGTTTGATTTGAGTTGCATTTCATTTGAACTTCATGCCAGCTCGACCGATGTCCATAGTGTTTGGATCGATGTCGGTGCTGTCCGACTCTTCGGATAGCCCATCGGACTCGACCAGCGACAAGGCTGGGCAGGTTGAGTCTGGCGGGAAGGATGACCGGCAGAAGGTCGAGCTGGAACCGGCGAAACAGTTGCTGGAGGGCGCCAGAAGTGTCATGTGGCCTGAGCGAGTTAAAGTTGCACGAGGCGACGCAAGCGACTTCGGCAAGTTCAGGGAGAGGAGAAAGTTTAGATTCTTGCACCTCTTCAGCGGCCCGGATGACAAGCTTGCCAAAGCCTTGAAGGAAGAGGGCCAGAAGGTAGGCATGACGGTGGAGGTGGAGAGCGTCGACATCAAGACAGACCCATCAATGGACCTCCGGCGCAACGAGGCCATGGACAAGTTCGAGACAAAGGTGTCGGGGGGTGAGTATGATGGGTATCATGCGGGATTCCCATGTGGATCATTCAGCAGAGTGCGGTGGCTGGCAAATGCGGGGATGCCTGGACCTGTTAGGTCCAGGTCTCATCCCTATGGCCTGCCAGGTAACTCTCAGGCCCAACAAGATGAAGCCGATCATGGAACCTTGATGGCTACGAGATCACTCGTCTTGATGCAGAAGCAGACCCTCTCCCAGCGGAACAGAAGGGTGCCTCAGTCAGCCACTGTTGAAAACCCGCCGGGTGATGAAGATGGTCCAGCAGGCAGCGCATGGATGTTGCAGGAGATCGTGGAAGTCCTCGAGCTCACGGGGGCAGGCATGGCAGACTTCAACACGTGCTGCTACATGGAGGGCAAGGAAAGGTTCTTCAAACCAGGCAGATGGGCCGGCAGACTGGAGGGATTGGAGAACCTGGCAAAGGTCTGCAGGTGTCCAGCGTGGGTCAAGCACATCCCTGTCATGGGAAAAGAAACCACGGTGAAGGCCGGGGTCTACCCCGACAACCTATGCAGGGAGGTGGCAAAACTCTACATCGCCGCATGGAAGAGGACGCTGGAGCTGGAGTTTTGG